GTTTCAGTTTTGGTGGTGAAAAATCCATATGATCTGAGATCACAGATCCGTTTTTGAATTCTGCCCCAAACACGCACCTCTTGAAGGTTGTAGAAAGGGGAAAAAAGAAACAACAACAACAAAAAGATTGAGGGGACTGGGGAGAGGGAAACAGCGAGAGCCCGTGATCAATTTTAAAGTGATCAAGTTTTAGTGAACGCGTACCCTGCGAGCAGAGTCTCCTTCGATCTTCCTAGAAAAATTGGGAAGAGAAAGGAGACTCTACTCGCGGCATGCACAATTCCTTTTGAGCATGCTCCAAATTCAAAAGTAACCGAGCCTCCGCGGGCCTCGCTTTCAAATGGAGTGATTTTTTAATGAGTAGGAGGCGAGACAAACGTATCGTTGCCACACAGAAAATTATACAGAGACCTTGAAATCCGTCCGATTTTAACTTTGTAATAGCACATTTGACGACTTTTTCAAAGGCTTTGTACGAAAGCGAAGAGCTGCCATGTTTTGTCGATTGATTGACAAATTCGTAGACTTGAAAAAATCGGAAAAAGTTATATTTCGTTTTAACAATATTGATCCACATGTTTGTAAAAAAGTCTTGGCCAGTATGTCTATGAAGCATTTCAACTTAGAGAATATTATTCCATAAAACAAAAGCATGGGAAATGGAGATTTCTAATTATATCTTTTAATTAATTCTATCTGTTTATTGATTATATTAAATATTATTAAAACTCAATTGTAATAGTTTAAAAGCAATACCGTTTCTGTATATGGGAATGCTAATAAAATGTTATGTTATGCCGTGGGCACGGAAAAAGTCAGCGGTTCTCACGATTGAACATGCGCACCAGGGGAAAACCGGTATTACCGGTTGAAACTTCTAGGTCTGCTAAAAAGATCATGTCCCTTATTAACTAAAGTGTCAGTAAGAAGGTCCTTGTATCTAGCAATTGCGAAGCCCCACCTTTGTTAGGCTACCGAAGAAGACACTAAAAGTTAAGGTTGAGTAAGTTCAGAGTACGTGGCACCAGATGGATTTTAAGTTTGAAGCCAGGCCTGATGTCATATGGGGAGAGACTGCTCGCCTTGGATATGCTGCCTCTTGCTTACGATCGAAAAATCAAGGATCTCGTTTTCTTTTACAAAGCTGCCTACGGCTTCATTTTGATTTTGATGTCTCTAACTACGTAACTTTTAACAATCATCCACGTACATACGCACCGTGGCCAGTCTGCTGGCTGTTATCTTACTGTTCCGGCCTGTAAAAGCCGCACTTTTCAAGCTTCATATTTTGTCAGTTCGGGGGGGACAACTTATGCAACGAAGCTCTCCCAAGTGGTGTTACCTCTCTTAGCTGTTTACAATTATTTTCGAAGAATTTACATAATTCTCTTTTAATGAATGTCTTTGATGTGGACATGGTCTGCTAATGGTCAATCTCTTGCGAACGTCCATGACACTCGCTGAATATGTTGTGGTTCAATTTTATCCTCGGTTTAAATTTTATTTTCTTTTGTTTTGGGTATGGCTATGTATGATAATGAGTTTGAAACAAAAGAAAATAAAATTTAAACCAAGGATAAAATTGAACCGCAACATATATACTTTATTTTTCATTTTGAATATTAGATTTCTTTACAGTTAGACGGAAATTTTCTCCCATTAAAGTTTTCTACAATTAGATTTTTCTCCTACTACAACTGGATTTTATTTTTGTATATATCGTTTAAAATTCTTATATTTCCATAGGGTTGGCACCCTGCATGGGTCGAAGTGTTCCGTTAGTACCTTGCCCTTTTGGTCTTTAATTCTTTCCTGTCTTTCATGTTTGTATATTTCGTCCTGTTTTTGATCCTGCCCAATAAAGCTTGAAATAATAGGCCAGTCACAGTCACAGTACAACAAACGCTAAGGACTTCGAACATGAATTAACTGTTTACCATTGGACAAGTTTTGGGTACCCGGTGTATCAGAAATTTTAACAAACAATTATATTATAAGAACTTTTCACTTTATTCAGTTAATGATAAGCACACATGATGTGAGCTACGTTTTGCTTGAACATTAAGAAAAAAACATTTTCTGGAACCAAAGTAACATTGTGAAAGGTTTGAACCCAGGAGTAATTTCAAAAGTAGATTGAGTTTGGCAGACGACCAATAACATCACTACGTAATTGACCAATCAGATCAATAACCAGAGTGTGATACCATCAACTGACGTGATACAACTCACTTTGACTCTGACTACCGCACAGGTTGTCGAAACGTCAGTCACTGTCAACAACAACAGTCCTATTCAGGACTACGTTCACCCGGACGATCAAACTCAACCTACTTTTCAAAGTAACATTATTTTACGAATAGGGTATAATTTGAGCATTTTGGGGGGAGGGGGGAGGGGGAGGGGCGTAAAAAGAGATTAAATGCCAGTTTTACTAGCATAATCGGGAAAGGCCTAGAACCCCGGCTAAATATTTCGGTAAGTAGGCAAATATTTGCGGCCCGCACAGGGCAGCTACCTATTTTTGTCTTGAAAGCGTCTGAGAACTCGATTTGTCGGGTAGTTTGTTTTGGTAATTTGTTTGGTAGTTTTGAAGTTTGTTTCGCTGTTTTACCAGTTCCCAGTCCCCGCCGCGTAGCACCTTATCCAGTATACAAGCAAAGTACAATGGCGGCCAAAATTTTTTATACGAGAATTTTGTGACCGCTAGAAAGTGAAAATCTATGATTCTTTCTGAACACGCCTTAAAAGGAAATGGCGAAAAACTTATTAAAGCGTGTCTTAGCACTCTTGAATCTGTGACCTCTTGGTTAGACATTCGTATGAGGTTGGCAGTCGAGAGTCGGACGCGAGTGCGAGGAACAGTTTAACATTATCTGGGGATTTCTTGTAACGCTGCCGGTAAGTTACTCATTTGCTTGTCATGTCAGTTGAAAAGTTACGTTTTTTGGGAAGGTAGCGAACGTTTAAGTGAAGATTCGAGGGGGAGACAATGTTCTTTCATTTTCGCAGCACTGTCGTTCCATGAGCTCAACCAGTTATCAGCTGTAGATCATTGTGGATCACGAACACAGTCGATAAAATCTTGTTGCGAGGGGACAATTAGTTTCAAAGCGCCCTAAACAATCAACTCAGCAGAATCGTTTTCAGCAGATAACTTTCCTGTTGTAGTTTACTACTTTTTCTAAGGAGGTGAATGGACCAGACGAACAAAAAGAATTACAATTGAGGTCATAATTTGCCCTGGCAAAGAGGCGAATCAGAATGAAACGAGCGATTTGCTTACCGAGGTGGGCAAACTGAATTAAGGTTTTCCTGTTCATTTAAAATACTTATTTGTATTGATCTCATGAAATAAGAAAATGAATACAACAGAAACGAATATGTTCAATTCAGTTACAATTCACTAAGTCGAAGATACTTTCTGAAACCTTTCTTTTAAATATGTCTTCATTGTGTATTTGTCAGTAACAATCCACACGGATTTTGGAGTATGCATTTTACAAAAAACATTTCATTATACAGCGTTTATTTTAAAAACATACCTATAATATATTAGTGAGATATATAAATGCTTGTTGTTATTGATTAAAATCTTTGGGAATTCATTGCTTGCATTCTGCTCTATGTTTGTTTTTATTTGAAACTAATTCTAAGAATAAGCAGGTTCCGAATTATAGTCACACATAAGGATAAACCTGAAGACAAAAACAAGCTTTTAAAATTGTGTTACTAGTTGCATAATTTTAAGGCCTTTAGGTATATATCATTTCTGTGCTTGGCAATGTTAAGATTTTGTAAAGGAAAGGTCTGATTAAAGGAATAACTTGTAATGGGGGACTGGGTACTACTAAAAAAAAAACCTTTTTCCTCAGAACTACTCACCTATTCAAACTCATCCTCGGAGACCCAGGGGCAGATAGTGGGGGCGAGGGAAAGTCTAAACGGGCGGAAAAATATGGCACGAAGAAAAGTAAAGAACGGCGCGAAGAGCCCCTGGGGACAATGTCTTACCAGACCAGTTCCAAACGGTCGCTGCCGTTCTGGCTTTTGATTGGTGCCAGAAAACGCTTGTGTTTTTCTGTCCAATCAAAAGGCAGAACGGCCGCGACCGTTTGGAACTGGTCTGGTAAGACATTGGCTGTCTTTACACTAGGCTGTTAAGTAAGACTTAAGAGCTGCTAAGTTTTACTTAACCAAAAATTGGTGTGTGAAGGCCTAAGTAAAATCTCAAGTGACTTTACTTTGCATCTCATTAAAGTTGGAAAGTTGAAACGATTCAAGAAAGTTTCAAGCGACTTGAAAACCATCCTTAAAACCGACTTAGCTGACGTGCGAAACACGTCAGTCAATCGTAATTATGTTGCGTGGGAAAATAGCCTTAAGTTAACCTGAAGTAAAAAAGAATCGGTTGTGTGTGAAGCTTTATTTTACTTGAAGTAAGTAAAATTGACTTGTCTTGAAATATTTCTTAGCTCATTTAGGCTCTATTGTAAAGACTACCATTGTCCCCAGGGGCTCTTCTCGCCGTTCTTTTCTTTTCTTCGTGCCATATTTTTCCGCCCGTTTAGACTTTCCCTCTCCCCCACTATCTGCCTCTGGGTCTCCGAGGATGATTCAAACTGTTGCCATGCACAGTTTTGTAGTTCTTTATGTTGTAAGTTGTCTTGTAGCAATTAAAATGAATAACTCCGAATTTAAACTGCTGCCATTTTTGCTTAAAGGCTTTTGGGAATTTGTGGCCGTAAGAGATCACGTGACCTAATTTGCATAATGTCGAGGTGATACAAAATATAACTTTTCGAGAAATTTACGATAGATAGTTACGAACATACGCCACCCCCTCATCTTTCAACGAAAATACCTTTCGACCGATGCCTTAATTTATTTGTCAATGAGCGGACGTCAAAAGGAAAGGATGACAAACAACGAAAATTTAACTTCCGTTTTACTATGTTATAGAAAACGTAATTCTGTTTTCCTATAGCATACGGCGCGAAAGCGAAAAGCGAAAATAGAGATTAAATTCTGTTGTTATTGATATAGGAAAACGAAAGATGAAATGGCAAAAGAGAAAATAGGAATTCGTTTCTCTGCGAGAGCGGAAACTGATTTGAATATTCAAACCGAAAATGAAAGTCACGCCGTTTTTTTTATGGGCGAAGTAATTATAATGGACACTGGGAAAGGGGAATGAAAAATAAAATCGAACTACATTTTCCCGTTATCAGTAGCAGCTCAAAATCGGTTGGGACGAAGATACACGCTTTGAAGAGAAGCATTGTAGGTTTTCAATTACTACATTCTCATCAGTTGTTCGGTTAGAAACAAACAGGGTATTTAAAAGTAAAAGTAAGCAATCATATATGAAATTGAAATTGCTCTAATATACTCACCCTTTGGGTCGAGCCAAACACCTACGACAGCAAACGTAATAAAAACGCATGCTAAGAAACCCACGATCGACCAAAAGGAAGAACAAACTGCAAAGGCTGATGTTGAAACTATTCCCAGCGGAAAGAAAATTAACAAAAAGCCATAGGAAATGAGGGTGTATATCCAGATGAATACCTGTTCGATGAAGAAACAACTCAGTTTCATTATCAGCCACAAAACTGCAATCCCGAGCGCCAATAAGAAAGCGTCGTTCGGCTGCATTGCTCTGATAATTCTCGCGGCCGCGAGCAAAAACGAGTTTATAATTTTGTCGGCGCAGATTACGAAAGGATCGCAAGCGGAGTGCGATGCGGTTTGGTCATAAACCTTTATCGGTTTGGTATCCGCAGTTGCCTAGCAACAAGCCATAAACAAATCCTATAGACGCCATTCAGCATGACGTCATCGTTCATTCTGGGTAACTGACGCATCATTGGTGACTAATCTCTTCCGAGCAGCTGCTGCATCTCCCTGGGTTTCCAGTGTTAACTTATGTTGCCGAAACGCCCGGCGAATCGCAAAGTATTTCTGAGGCAAATAACAGCGGGCTGCAAACACAACAGTGCCGGAATGGACAAGCTGGAAATCCTTGTCGTGGAATATGCAACACCGAAAGAACGGTGACCTGAACTTCAGCGAGAGCAGCGAAGAAGAAAGACCAGTGCGTTCATCGAGATCGAGCGGCCTATATAAAGCCCGAGAGTGATTTAACACGGAAATAATGCGAAACGGTTTTCTAAATACTCGTTTAACTTAAGCTATTTTCCTCAAATGTATCTTTGAATTCATGATAAATACAGCTCTATAAGGTTCAAACAGTGTGAATGGCAGAGAAATATATTTCGACACTTTTAGCTTTAACACATTTCTTTAACAAGATTTTGCGCTGGAGGAAGTTGGGGTGCGGGTTCAAATCCCAGCGGGGCTACTTCCATTTTTTTTTCGTTTTTTTTCTTTCATCGTATTTTACTCTTTGGCTTGTTTCTGTTTATTCCCACTGCTGACCCTTTTAAGCTTCGCGAGATTTTTTTGCGATAACGTATTTCTAGTTTAAACCTACTAATTCAAAGGACTTCTTCGATGAACACTTGGCTTCTGTATACAGTAGCCCATAATCATCAATTGCGTAATGGCGTTACAGGTGACTGGGAAATTACCAGTAGTATACCGGAAGCGGAAATAGGCCACACAGTACAGGCTGAGAGAGGTTCCTTCCTTGAAATGTAGCAAGCTCCCTCTTTCCAACATCAAGGCTGCTAATTGAATGTCTGATTTATTTTTGTTTCAAAGAAAAACAAATAGTTTTGAGCTCAATATTATGAATAGCAAGTAACAGGTATGTGTCATTATGTTAATCTAGTGGTAAATGAATGCAGTATTTCGCAAACAAAGACAGGTGTGAGTCGTTTTTATTTTATTTTTTACCTTGGTCCGTCATTATTCATAAGGAAAGAAGGAGAACTAACCGATGTTACTACCTATTGTACTGTTGCACGGTAAGGAGCGTAATCCCTGGGGCAAATTGACTAGCGCTGTCCAATTCAAGAGATGATCCAAATCAGTTGGGAAAAAATGCTTAGAATTTCTGAGAATGTTGCTCAAAGCTTGCCCCAAAATGTTAATGATGATTTTAATATTTGCTACAACAAGTTATTTTACTAAAGCAAAATCAAGCGAAAATGGGTACTTATTTGAGTTTGATTGGGAAGGGGAAGGGGGTGGGCGCTAATTCGAGACTGGGCGCTTATTCGAATAAACACGTTATTTTACCATTATTTTGACACACAACATTTTCCCGCAAACGCAAGGCCAATTGCAATGAGGATGCTTAAATTGTCAGCCATAATAAAATTCAGTGGGCTTTTTTTTTGCCGTGATGGTGGGTGCATGGTAGTGTCTATTCCTCTGTATATCAATCACTGAAAAGAGAAAATATTAGCATAGCGACGCTGAAAGTCAAGACCAGGAACGAGGACGTGTCAAACGGAAGGGAAAAGGCTGAAATTCTTAGTAAGCAATATGAGGGAGTTTTCATAGCCCAAAGATGTCCGACAAGACTTTAACTACCCCAGAACGACGAAACTCACCATAACTACCAAAGGCATTGAAGACCTGCTGAAGGTTAATCTTTTGAAAGATAATGGCCCAGACAAGATACCATCACCTAAAGGAGTGTGCACCCCAGATTGCCCCATACTTGACAGTCATAATTAACCAGTCACTTACTAAGCAAGACCTACCAGAAGACTGGCTAGACGGAAATGTTTGTCCGATGTGCAAGAAGGGAGAAAGGGAAAGATTCAGCTAAATATAGACTTGTCTCCCTTACGTGTGAGATCTGTAAAGTTATGGAGCTACATACCATCATGTTTTTGGACATCTGAGCCACTAGGGCTACCGGTCCTGGATTTTTTCAAGGCCTTTGACACGGTGCAACACAGGAAATTCTTAAAGAAACTAGAGCAGTATGGGGTTAAAGGTCAAGTTTATGACTGGATTGCTGCATGGCTAACTAGAAGATCACAAAGAGTAACCCTGGATGGTGAATGCTCAGCCCCAGCCAAGGTTTCTTCTGGTGTCCCGCAAGGGACCATTCTGGGCCCTCTGATGTTCTTGATCTACATCATTGACATCGGAGATGGTATATATTCTAATTTAAGGTTATTTGCGCATGACAGCCTCCTCTATTTGGTAATTGACACACCAAATGATGCTGCTCAGTTACAAAATGACAAAACCACTTGGGACAAACTGTCACAGTGGGCAGCCAAATGGCAGACTGTCGTTTAACACCGATAAGTGTAAGGTATTGACAGTCAAACTAGGAAATAGAACCCAATTCAGCATCCAATACGAAATCAATGACAAGAAGACACTTGAAGCATTGGAAAGTCATCCGTACCTCGGTGTGGAGTTAACAAGCAGTCTCAACTAGAACAAGCATGTTGAGAACGTAATAGTCAAGGCTAATAAATCATTGGGCTTTGTCAAGAGAAATCTAAGGCGGTGTCCAGACCGAGTGAAAGTCCAAGCATACAGCACTCTGGTCCGTCCACATTTAGAATACGCCAGTTCTGTATGGTCGCCACATCAAAAGTACCAGATCAATAGTATAGAGGATGTACAGCGCAAGGGGGCCCACTTCTGCAAGAACTGCTCGGATGGAGAACCGAGGATAGGGACTCGTTTGATCCAGGAACTTAACCGAGAGCCTTTACAGATGACACGAGAAAGAGGAAGGCTGGTGCTGTTATCCAAGATATTCAGGGGTATGATGGCTCTCCAGATGCCATCATATGTCCAGCCACCACATTACAGCAGAACCCGTCAGTAATATACCATCCTGCCAGATACATTGCGTGAAGAGTGGCAGTAACGAGTACAAGGGGAATTTCTTTCCCGCCACGATAAACTTGTGGAACAGCCTGTGGCCTGGAAAATTTTTTTTATGAATCTATTTATCAATTTATTTATTTCGTTCTTGTCTCTTTTGCATTATTATTATTATTTTTGTTTCTTATGGCCACGTGATGGATATGCTTTTGTGGATTATTTGGATAAACTTAAACCTTAACGTAAAGGCCTCTTTATTTTTTTTGTCTTTGAAACTGCTATTTTTTTCCAGGTGGACCGGGATTTGTTTCTTTTTTCAATGGAATTACATACTGACTTTTCAGGGTGTTCTTAATATTTTCGCTCAGTGTGACTATAAACCATGATTTTTTCTTCCTTCCAGAAAATTGTCCAGTAAGTGTTTGAAAACAAGATTGTGTGAGGTAAATTCATCACGGATTGTGACCAGTGTATGACCGTGACTATCACCCTGGACCCTGGTCACTCCACTCGGTTAAGTTTTCCTCTTAGTTTTTTGGTGTTCATGGTGAAAAATAGTTGACTGACTTCCACTCATATCACAGTTGTTTTTTTTTCGTGAAATGGCCTTTTAGTTTCCTTCATCAACCTCGTAGGCATAATGGAGTGGTTCCGTATTGAGAACCGCGAAAAACTAAATTTTGAAATGCATAAAGGCCGGCAATTGGAGCCTTCACAAAATGTATATGCACACATTCTGGCCGGTTTGAACTTAATTCTCACAATGCATATCTCACTGGATTTATGAAAACATGGCTTCAGTGAGTGTCTAAAGGTCCTATGCTAAGAGCGTCCTGGGTACCAAGACTTTTACCCTCCCTACCCAGGACAATGGGTGACTGTCTGCACCTCCCACTGAGCTCTGCAATTATCATGATAACCATTCTCAGCAGACGCCTGATTCATCTGGCTAGGGAAAATTAAGACCAAGGTACTCGCCAGTCAAAGCCTGCTCTGAACACTGCTGCTTACTGAAGGGAATATGTCAAAACAGCCCCCTCCCTACCCTACTAGTTTTGACTCCAAGGCCTGATCCACCCACCCACTGTTAGGGCAGTCCCAGGGCTATGCAGCTGTACTGACCAAGACGGCAAGCCCCCTACATTGTTGGGCACCGGTCTGGCCTGAAGCCGGGCTTCGCCCGGCGCCAGGCGAAAACCCAGTGGCCACGTTTTAACGAAATCAGACATATAAATTCAGGTTTTTTGTCTTTTACATTAATAGATACCATAGAAAAAGAATATCTGACCAGAAATAGTAAGCTTGCAGAGCCAACCGACCTATTAGAAAGTCAGAACAAAAATCTTTAAAAATAGCTTTATTTTAAAAAGCTTAACTTGTGTTACTGCAAAATACAGCAAGGATATATCAGCCGGCAAACCAAAAGAAGTTCCATATTGTACTTGTTAAAGACGTTGCCAGGATCCAGGCATGCATATTATGCAAAATCTATTAAAAATCAACTTCGATTAGTCCCCTTGGATTTTTGTGTCTAAAAAATCGCACAGTTAGCGTTTCCATATCCTCGTGGAGTAAAATGGCGAGGTGGAACACACGTGCTGAGCAGTAATTACAAATAATAATGATAATAATAATAATAAAAATAATAATAATAATAATAATAATAATAACGGTTTATTCACAGGTTCTCTATATGGTAGCTATACATATGTGAAAAAAGAAAAACTATTTACAACAAAAAAGCATTTTACAAGAAATTATAATTGTATATATTATGCAAAAATCTATTTACAAGTAAAAAGCAACTACATGCATTTCTGCTAGTCTGAGCTGTGCCCTTTGTTTAAAAACATTAGTAACTAATTGATTAAAACGATGAAAAACATTACATGATCTTAAGTTTGCAGGCAGGCTGTTAAAAAAATTGGCTGCTGAGTCCTGAAAGGTATGTTTCTCCATAGAGATAGCTGTAGTGTATCACTTGATCGTAGGTTCCTCTTAGGGTCGTGTAATGGGAGAGGTAAATATTGGGAACCTAGGGCAGAAACCCCCTGTATTCCTTGGCTATAACAACTGCTACGATTTTTAAAAGGACTGATGCGAAGACTTGTGATTTTCCTGATGCTCCGTCTCATCAACAGTATCATATAGGCCCAGGTTATTGTTGGTTAAACTCTTCTCTTAATGTCATATGTTATCAGATAGGCAGGATAACACTGTTCGTCATTAAAAATGACAAAAATTGATGGGCTTGATTCATTATCAACGCATGAATCATATAGATCACTAGCGGGATTGCTAGGGTCTTTTAAAGGAGGTCGATGGAGTGATTCATCTCCTTGCTTAAACTCTCCGGTTAACACTCGAGCAAGGAACATAAATCTTGTCATTCCACTGCAGTAGTTGTTACTATATGAGGCCTTAACGGCAAAATAGCTTCCTTTACCGTATTTTGTGCCGTTTTTGCCGTGACACCTGTGGTCAAAATTGTGCTTGCAGATGGCGTCAATGACATCTGAACTGGTGCCGTGGAAAAGAAGCCTCTCCACATTATCGTTGTCGGAGACTTTAAGTATATTCTTGATTTGGTCTCTCTTCCTGAAAATACATCCACCGTATACAATTTGTAAATGGAATGAACTCATTACAGTTAAATTCAGTTGATTTAATGAAATTGCGGAATAAACTGTGGGTCTTTGGAGAAGACTAAGGGCTCCGCATATACATTATTTTACATGACTTTAATTTCCGCATTCAGAAATGTTTCAGGATTTATTGCATTTTAGATATTCAGACACACATGGGTGTCGATCAGGCAGCTATAAAATGGTTCTCGTCGTACTTAAGTGGCCGAACCCAAAGATGTAATGTCAGTGGCAAACTATCATCTGCTCGTACCCTCAGTTGCGGCGTGCCGCAGGGTCGCATATTGGGTCCTTTGCTATTTTTAATTTACATTAATGATCTTCCCAACTCCCTGCGGGGCGCCGTACCAAGAATGTTTGCCGATGACACCAACCTTACGTTATCTGCTAAGACGTTCACAGAGCTTAAGCTAGCTCTAACCCCTGAATTAAATAACCTTAGCTGTTGGCTGAAAGCTAACAAGCTTAGTCTAAATGTTGCTAAAACAGAGCTAATGATTATTGGATCAAGACAAAGACTATCTGCCCAATGTGACGATGTAGAAATCAGAATTGATGACCAAATTATTAAGAGAGTCGATCATACCAAATCCTTGGGTCTTACCACAGATGCTCAACTCTCTTGGGGTAAACACGTTGAAGAGATTTGCAAGAAAGTCTCTTCAGCTATAGGCGCCCTAAAACGTGTGCGGCCCTTTATATCCAAAGAAACTGCAATTCAAATTTATAACGCTTTAATTATGCCTCATTTTGATTACTGCAGCCCCGTCTGGGACTGTTTGAGTGGTTACTTGAGTGATAAGCTCCAAAAATTACAGAATCGTGCAGCCAGAGTTATTACTAAATCACCCTTTGATACGAGCTCAAACCACCTTCTCTCCACCCTCAGCTGGGAGAGGCTATCTCTTCGACGAAAGAAACAAAAAGCCGTAATGATGTATAAAACCATGAATGACCTTGCTCCAGAATATCTGCAAAGTCTTTTCTCTCAGCGTCACTCTGCTTACAACTTAAGAAACTCTGAGGGAAGGCTGACCTTGTCCAAACCAAGCACCAATTATTTGAAACGAAGCTTCTCTTACAGCGGGGCCATGTTATGGAATAACTTGCCCAAAAACTTAAAAAACGCTGCATCCGTTGAGCATTTTAAGCGAAATATCAAGAAGGTAGCTGATATATCGGATTCCCACACGGCAATCATGTAAAGCAGTTGTAATTAGTTTTAGTTTTTAACTTAAGCTTAACTGATGATTTCCCGTGTTTAAATAAAGATTTACATACATACATACATACACATCAGTTAATCCAGGAACGGTTATTCGGTTGAAGTATTCCGACATTTAAGATTCTGGATTTAAAGTTCCTGGAAACGCGTTCAAACGGTTTTTATTTCGTATTCATGTATCTGCATCTAGCAGCAAAACGAATCCAGACACCAAAAGATAGTTAAAAAAAAAAAATTAAAAAAATCCTCTCTAGTGGATACCTCGTCTGGTACTCAAGGGAGACTTTCAAGGCCGAAAGACTGAAAAATAAACTTTTTGGCCAAGGAAAAACTGAAATTAACTGGTAAGAAAGTGCCTTTATAGCTTTCAAGGACCACGCGGTTGAAGTGGATTGCAACTTTTTTATTTCATAAGTAGGTTAAGTATGATTTGGATATGATCGTCACATATGTCGCAAAGTCAGACTCTGCGACATTTATTACGTATTCTACAGACTACTAATTAACGACTCACTGGTTTGCTAACTTAGAGCAAACGCCACTGAATAGTAATCAACAGTTACCAGCACCGTACAAGCGACTTACTAACGGGATCAAGCAAAACTAACTTCGAGAAAAAGACTGTTTAACTGAGAAAATAGACGGATCGAAACGCACCAATGGCATTACGAGTCTTCATTAATAGAGAATAATATCACGGCTTAACTGACAGACGACCAATAACATCGCGACTTGATTTACCAATCAGGGGTCAATTTAATAAAACTTTTACAGTTGTAATTTACCAGTGTAACTATTGTTTTAGGGTCCTAAAACAATAGCTAAACTAGTAGACTACGCTTGTAAAAGTTTTATTAAATTGATCCCAGGTCAATAACCAAAGTTTAATACCATCAACTGACGTGATACAGCTCACTTTGACTCTGAGGGTCACTACCGCACAGGTTGTGGAAACGTCAGTCACTGTCAACAACAACATTCCTATTCAGGACTACGTTCACCCGGGCGATCAAACTCAACCTACTTATGAAATGACTCCTGGGTTCAAACCTTTCAAAACTTGTTTACTTGTTATAAAAAAAAGAATTGGGCCACCATTTTCAATTTCAACTTTTGCGTCACCGAAAAATTAAGAAAAATTGTCATGCTTAGTTTTTCTCTTTCAGAAAATCTCTTTTTATTTTTCTTTCAGCGTTTATAATGCTAAATAATGATGAGTGAGGATAGCTGGCTCTTATTTCAGCTCACTCTTGACCGAATCAATAATGTGAATTGACCTTGACCCCATAGTCCGTACGGTAAAAGACCCAATTCTTTAATACACTTAAAGCTACAATTGTACGTGATAACGGACGCAACAACTCCCAACAATCTTGTGTCCCTTTTCACGGGGCTAAAAGTTTGACCGGGGGTTTCAAACTTTGCGCAACAACTCCCAACAACACGCAACAACTCCCAACAACACGCAACAACATGCAACAGGGTGTGCACACGGACGCAATATGTAGCATTTTTGATCCAACAATGTACATTCGGAGTTGTTGGCCAACAATGTTGCATCCGTTTGCACTTTCCTTAAGAATACAGAATTTAAGTCTTGTTCATACATTTACCATACCTTTTGTATCTCTCATTTAAGAAAGCATTTTTTATTTTCTCGATCACAGTTATCTTTGCCTTGCGTTTTAGGATTGTTTTATGAAACAGCGTTTCCACCTTTTTGAACTCTTCACTGTCTGCTGGCAGGGGGATTCGTTTGAAGGTATTGTCATGACCCATGAGACGTCTGCTAATGGCTTGAACGATGTTAGAGACCCTGGGAAATGAGTTGAATAGGCTGAAAAAACTGCAAAATGGAAGAAAAAAAAAACCGCAAGGTTATTACTTTGTTTGCCTTAATTGTATCAAGCGTCAGTCTTTTATAGGGAGGTCAGTTTTAGACGTCATCGAAAGACACGAACTGGGAGTTGACAACACTGGTGCCATAAAAACTGCGTGTATTCAGTCAACCGTTTCTTTTGAAAACGAGATGTCTGTCTTTTAGAGACAATTAAAAGGAGTAAAGAAAGGCAGAGACCAACTCTAGGTGTCCTTTTTGGCGACGTGTCCGTCTCATAGGTAGTCAGCTTAAACGAGAAAACAAAGGCAGTGACCAGTTCTAGGTGCCCGTTTCATCGAGATGTCTGCCTTTATATGAGAGTCAACTAAACGGAGTAAAGAAAGGCAGGCAGTCTAGATGTCACAGCGAGATATCCGTTGAGAAAAAAGTTGACTGTATCTGTTACTCCTCCAACAATCAATATGTTCTGGACTATTTAATTTGGTAAAAATATGGAGGTAAAATAAAAAAAAAATCATCAATTTTCAATGACCCATTTGCAGCCGTACATCAGCTAGCCTCCCACGCAGACGCTCTTAGGGGCTCGTGGGATGAGAGAAACAGACAGCTCAGGCATCATCGTAAATCGAAATTCTCAATTTAAGTGATATCCCATATAACGCGAAATTAACGATGCACGTTGACAACGTCAAGAAGATTTACGTTACACAAAATTAACGCAAATTTGCCAAAAGTTTGGTTCATATACATTACTGAATTAACGCGAAATTTTCGAAAACGATGTGCGCCTAACTTAATTGATTAATTATTTTACGCGAATTTGCTGTATTACAAACTTCTCAACATACATATCTAAAGGAAAAAACAGCAGCATTTCCAGTCATTGTTATCTCATTGTTATCATGTTACTTCTCCGTAATTGGATCTAGAGAGGGAACGCTCCCTTGGATCCTGGCATTTTCTTGTACCTCGGAGGGAAGACTTCAAATAGTGACACCGAGGCGTTGATAGAGGAACTATTAGCAGACGAGGTTTTGTTATTGAAAAGGTGCTGTAAAACAACAACGATGTAGAATAGTGTGATTTAAATTAACATCGACGTAAATTAAGATGCATTAAATTAATGCGATTTAAACAAAAATCGCGTTAATCAAGTGCATCCTTAATTTCCTGTACTGAATAATGTAGTTTCCTGGTTTGTGCTATCCCAGCGATTCCTTGCTCTCCAGCTATTGTACTACGTGACCTAGCCATACACTGCAGTTTAATTAGTGCCCATGCCAATTCCGCAGCACATACTAACTCCATCCCCTCCCGGCCCATGGATTTAAAAATGGAAATTAAAAATCTACGGAACCTGACCTTGTACGGGAATGAACCTCTGACTCAGCAACAAACTTTGGTCTTCTTCTGACGCTTCTCTCGGTCCGGTAATTGGGATCCATATTCCTTTGACGCATCGACTTGTCATATAATGTTATCATGTATTTACGTCGGTTTATGTGAAAGAAGTAAAATCCCTCTTCGTTAAGATAGTCAGCCTCTATGTTTTCTTGTGCCATCTCACGTGAGATCTAAAAGCACAACACAAAATTTGCGTTATCATTACAGAAACGCGCCCATTCAAAAACGTCGATCGTGAAAATGCAAATAAGTAATTTAGTGTCAATCAAGAAATCCCCTGGGTATATTCCTTTCCTGGTTATTGTTCCTGCTCAGACATCCGCAACATTTGCCTATTCTTCGATAAAGAATAGAACATTACGCGACTAACAATAGCTTAGTCTTTTTAAAAACTGTCTAAATTTACTCCGAATTAGCATGTGTCTTTTTGCTGTTAAACGCTTCAAAATTGAAAAATCCTCGATGATTGTTGTTGATTTTGCCGTAAATAATTCAATGCACTGACTTAAAATGAATTTTTACCTTTTACAAACTTCTTGGTGTTCGAATCGATCGATGAAATATGAGCGCAACCGATGCGTTGATAGTTTGTTTACATTTTGTCACGGGTTTTGGATAATATTATAAACCTTAAAATTTACGGGCAAATTCGACGAAAAAGCACTCTCACTTACATTCTTCATTTAAGATATTGATTTTGGCAAAGTATAAGGCAAAATTAAGAGCGGTACTTTCTTTAAGAACGCTATAACTACATATTTGACGGCCAAACCTAAACTGCGATCCAATCCGTCTCTTAAAAACAACTACAATACCGCTTCTGATAATAATATTTATAAACGCTGCAAACATTTTTATTCAATCTTATCGAGTGATTTTCGTGAAGATGAGTTTTTAAGTGAAGAATACTTTGGTTTCTGACTAGCTTTAACTGTTTTGCCATCAAAACGATTCGCACGAGACTACCGAGTTCGCGAGGGTTTTATGTAAGTGCACGAGGAAGAAACATGCTTCTCTTTGCATAAACTTGAAGCACTGACAAAGACATTCCAACACTTAAAACAATGGCAACCTACTTCTATTGTTTCTGCATTGTCTCTTGAAAGTGTGACAATAGTTAACCGCTATGAAGTTCATAAGAAACCGAAAACGACGGTAGTCTTTGAAACTTCGTTTTTGCTCGCAAAGCCTAATGGGTACCCCACTTTTCACGGGCGACGTTTTTCAATGGGCGCGTTTCTGTAATGTGATATTAAAAAGAATTTTGCGTCCAGACCTAAGTGTAATTCTTGACACGAATGGCGGACAGAAATAAAATCTTGGGCCAGCGGTTTTCTCTCCTTTATCCTACTTTCAAGTTAAAAAATTTAAATTAGGGAAACGAAATAACACATCGATAAATACGAAAAACAATGAGGATCAGGACTATCCAAAGTCTTGTGTAAAACATCAAGTGAAATTAAATCGTTTAGCTGTTCTTGTTATGATAATAATATCATAGGTGACGAATTACTCCTTAATTCTGGCGCGAAATTTCAGCGTTAATTTGTAATTTCACATGTGAAATTACTAGATGTCAAGATGGCGACGAAGTTTTAAAATGTCATGAATGAAGATGTCAGGGCATAAAAAGACGCTTTAGAAAACCTGAACACACGAAAAAGCACATCAAGAAGGATTCTTAGAGGTATGTTGTCGAAAAATTCTGAAAACTTAAGCCAAATTTCAGCTCTAAACGTTAATTTGAGAGAGTGGAGTTCACGATCGATCGATACGATCCAGCATAAATAATTAAGTGAAAAATCCTCGATTGCTAACGTAATTCGTCACCCATGATATTAATAGGTAATCAAATGGTATACTCGTGAAATTAGGGAATAATTGCACGCGCGTTTTGTCCAAATCCTAATAATTTCCCTCGCCTTTCCTTGAAAAATGTCAATCAAAATTTATATCGAAAACAATGGAGAATATAACAATTGATTCGTGATAATGAACCCAAAATGTTAGGAAATAGTTGTTGTCAATTTAATGTCAGTGTAATCCTAGAGCTTAAAAGATAGCAAACATGCTTTTTGAAGCAGAAAGGGTGCTGCCTCCTCATAACAGGGAGAAATAAACTGGGAAGAAAAATGTTATGAGATCAATTCTGGCAAGTCACGTGCCCCACCTGACAAGTTAAGAGGCCCTGCACCTAAGAAACGACCGATGATTTCCGGCTAAAAAATAAAATCGGCCGATTTTTATCTCCCAAGTAGAGGTTACCGAACACTATTCAAAAATGAATTTCTTTTGTTTCAGTTTCGCTTTAAACCAAAAATATCGAGCCGCAAACTTTTTCCGTCTGATAGCAGCAAAATCAGGCCTAAAATAAGCCCTCGCAAAAAACGGTTCAGAAATCACTATCGCAACGCAAAACAACGAGAAAACCACATAGTGATGAAGAAAAAGGCCTTTTAATGCAATATAATTCGATAAACATCGAAAAACTGCCGAAGGGAATAAAAAATAAATTTTCAAATATTGCATATTAAATTAGATGGAGCGTTGGAGTTGATTTTAAAATAATAATTTCTCAAAAGTCCAACGCTGCTGAAAGCAATCACAGTGATGAATCAGACATTGGAGGGATATACATTACGATTCTGGAAAAACATTTTTCGGCCAAAGTCTACTGACGTTGTAAAAACCGTTCAAAGTTACATGGTTTTGGTCAAAAATTTGAAATTTTATGAACGTTTCGTTATATGCAAAAAAGTTGAAGTTTTTTCATCTTTTGTATTATTTATCAAAAATAGATCGAGAAAAAGGGTTTGCTGACGTTCTCGATAAAAAAGAAGACTTTAAAGACTATAAAAACAACTGTTTACGAAAAACGCAAAATTAGAATTTTTCCAAAGGGGTTAGTCCATTGTTTTGCTCAAAAATTAGAGATTTCTTCAACTTTGATTTTTATGCAAAAAGAGACCAAGAAAAAGTATCTGGAAACGCTCTAGTTAGAAAAAAGTTTCTATAATCCTTTGTAACACCCTGTAACCCCTTGTCACCCCCTGTCACCCCTTGTAACCCCTTGTAACCCCTTGTAACCATCTGTAACCCCTTGTAACCCCCTGTATTCCCATGCCATAGATCGTGAAAATAAATCGTGAAAAAACGATTTTCGACGTTTCATATAGCAAACAAGCCTTTCTGAACAAGAAAAACATCGGTTTCAAAAACCTACAAAATTGGCATTTTTGCAAAGGGGTTAGTCCATGGTTTTGATCAAAAATTTGAAATTTTGTGAACGTTTCGTTTTATGCAAAATACACCCAGAAAAAGTATTTGGTGACGTTCTCGTTAGAAAACAAGCCTGTCTAGACAATATAAACATGGATTTAAAAAGAAGGCAAAATTGGCATTTTTGCAAAGGGGATAGTCCATGATTTTGGTCAAAAAGTTGAAGTTTTTTCATCTTTTGTATTATTTATCTAAAATAGATCGAGAAAAAGTGTTTGCTGACGTTCTAGATAAAAAAGAAACCTTTAAAGACTATAAAAACAACTGTTTACGAAAAACGCAAAATTAGAATTTTTCCAAAGGGGTTAGTCCATCGTTTTGATCAAAAAATAGAGATTTCTTCAACTTTGATTTTTATGAAAAATAGACCAAGAAAAAGTATCTGGGAACGTTCTAGTTAAAAAAAGTTTCTATAATCCTTTGTAACCCCCTGTAACCCCTTGTCACCCCCTGTCACCCCTTGTAACCCCCTGTAACCCCTTGTAACCCCTTGTAACCCCTTGTAACCTCCTGTAACCCCTTGTAACCCCCTGTATTCCCATGTCATAGATCGTGAAAACAAATCGTGAAAAAACGATTTTCGACGTTTTATATAGGAAACAAGCCTTTCTGAACAAGAAAAACGTCGGTTTCAAAAACCCACAAAATTGGCATTTTTGCAAAGGGGTTAGTCCATGGTTTTGATCAAAAATTTGAAATTTTGTCAACGTTTCGTTATATGCAAAATACACCCAGAAAAAGTATTTGGTGACGTTCTCGTTAGAAAACAAGCCTTTCTAGGCAATATAAACATGGATTTAAAAAGAAAGCAAAATTGGCATTTTTGCAAAGGGGATAGTTCATGATTTTGGTCAAAAAATTGAAGTTTTTTCATCTTTTGTATTATTTATCTAAAATAGAACGAGAAAAAGTGTTTGCTGACGTTCTAGATAAAAAAGAAGCCTTTAAAGACTATAAAAACAACTGTTTACGAAAAACGCAAAGTTATAATTTTTCCAATGGGGTTAGTCCATCGTGTTGATCAAAAATTAGAGATTTCTTCAACTTTGATTTTTATGCAAAACAGACCAAGAAAAAGTATCTGGGAACGTTCTAGTTAGAAAAAAGTTTCTATAATCCTTTGTAACCCCCTGTAACCCCTTGTCACCCCCTGTCACCCCTTGTAACCCCTTGTAACCCCCTGTAACCCCTTGTAACCCCTTGTAACCCCTTGTAACCCCTTGTAACCCCCTGGTAACCCCTTGTAACCCTCTGTATTCCCATGTCATAGATCGTGAAAATAAATCGTGAAAAAACGATTTTCGACGTTTTATATAGGAAACAAGCCTTTCTGAACAAGAAAAACATCGGTTTCAAAAACCCACAAAATTGGCATTTTTGCAAAGGGGTTAGTCCATGGTTTTGGTCAAAAATTTAAAATTTTGTGAACGTTTCGTTTTATGCAAAATACACCCAGAAAAAGTATTTAGTGACGTTCTCGTTAGAAAATAAGCCTTTCTAGACAATATAAACATGAATTTAAAAAGAAGGCAAAATTGGCATTTTTGCAAAGGGGATAGTCCATGATTTTGGTCAAAAAGTTGAAGTTTTTTTCATCTTTTGTATTCTTTATGAAAAATAGCTCGAGAAAAAGTGTTTACTGACGTTCTAGATAAAAAAGAAGCCTTTAAAGACTATAAAAACAACTGTTTACGAAAAACGCAAAATTAGAATTTTTCCAAAGGGGTTAGTCCATCGTTTTGATCAAAAAATAGAGATTTCTTTAACTATGATTTTTATGCAAAAGAGACCAAGAAAAAGTATCTGGAAATGTTCCAGTGAAAAAAAAGTTTCTATAATCCTTTGCAACCCCTTGTAACCTCTTGTCATCCCCTGTCAC